GAAAGAAAGAAAGAAAGAAAGAAAGAAAGAAAGAAAGAAAGAAAGAAAGAAAGAGGTAGGTTTAAACTCTTTTGCCAGCGTGGCAAGCAAAAGCAGTTACACCGTTTGAGAGACACAAGGAAAACGAATTAAAATCATAATATATTCATCTAAAAGGAAAATACAGCAGTCATTTAGATTCCTTTACACAGATATACACACCTACATGTGCACACGGTCTTCTTTGTTCCTTCTTCCCCATCTCCCCCTTCTGTTTAAAGCAGGAACTGAACCAAAAAAAACCTTTGAAGTTTTACCCCGCAATCTGATTTCTCAGGAAAAGAAAAAGGAGGAATCAGATAAGGAGAAGAAGTTTCTAGAAGGTTTCTTTCTAAAGAAAGACGTTTCTAAAAGGTGTCTTTTCATTGCCTTGGTAAAACAGCTGCAGATAATCACTTTCCAGTCAGTTTTAAAGTCTGGAGAAAACTCTCACGGAGTCAGAGTAGTGGTATTAGGGAAGGAGAAGGTAGGAGGGCTTTTACCAGAGAGTAAGGGAGCTGCTTGAAAAGTGGAAAGAAAGGAACTTACTGGAAGTTACTGGAAAGGACAGCAGGATTGTGCATTCACACGTCAATTGTCAAGAACCATGGGGAAAATGAAAAGCCAGGTTAGGCAGGTCATTGTATGCACAAAAGCTGTTTCAGAGTCCAATGCAGTGAACTTCGTTGGTACATATGTCCATCAAACTGAAAACAGGTAGTGAGGCAGAGGCTGATGAGGCCCATGATTCTGGGTAGTTCAATCTTAGTGTATTTGGTTAGGTTGGACGTGTTGTGTAGTACTGCTGCCGTGGACCCTTTCACTAGTTCTGGGTCTATGGACGTAAAGAGTGCTGTGACATCGAATGAAACCACAAATTCATCTTCATCTATTTTTAGGTCTTTGATTTTCTGGAGGCGCTGTAGTTTATTTTTTGTTTTATGCCAGAGGAAAAATATTGATCTTTACCCATTCCATACTGAAGGATTCTCCCTTTTAATCTGGTAATTCAAAAGTCGATTAATGCAGTTCATAAGCAACATGGGGAAAATTGAGGTTTACAGAGTGTGTACCAGATGGAAGCAGGCAGAGATAATATTCCTCATTATACTTTTACTTTTCAGCTTTTGAATTAGACAATTTATTCATTTTATGTGAGATGATACTTCCACCTAGTGGGCAGCAATAGAATTGCCAACACTGCTACCTAATTGTAACAACCTAGCTTATAAACCAATCACAAAATTGTTAAGAATTAGTATTATATATCTATTTCATCAAACAAAATACAGATCTGAGAATCATGGAGTCAAATTTAATCTCATACCCCTCAATCTGCCCATGATTGGTATATTTCCAATTTAGTTGGAATTTCCATTTTTGCTCACACTTTAGGGCCAGGATGATAGCATAGCCCGGTTTAGGGTTTTGCCTGTGCTGATTGTGGAAGTTACTTTTTTTTACCCTGCATTTCTTACTGTTTTCTTTTTAATTTTTTATCGATAGGTTTCTGTTTTGTTGCTTGTTAGCCACCCAGAGTTGTTTGATTAAGACATGCAGCCATATAAATATGTAGAATCATCAATAAATAGTTACATTGGTAAATATGTATGAGAAAGGACAATAACATGGCATTTTTCAAGGATGTGATTAACTTCTTAGAATAAAACCTTTTCTAAAAGATCAGATCACCGAAGGTTGTCCTCTAAAGTGTTCAAAGACCTTGTATATGACAGAATAAATAATGTTGAAGGTCCAGATCCAGAGGCGCTGACTCTTTAGCCCAGTGTTGTCCAAACTTGGCCACTTTAAGATGAGTGGACTTCAACTCCCAGAATTCCTCAGCCAGCA